AACACGGTCGAGAAAGAGCTTGAGGGAGTTTACCAGCGTCGCCTCTCACACCATGGCAGTCGCGGTCGGCAGGCGGAGCTGCATTGGACCAGCGCGCTGCAGCCAGGCAAGGCGACGATGGAAGGAGCGTCGCCCACCTCTCGCCCGGCTTCGCAGCTGCGCTGGCTCAGCAACCGTTTCAGGTTATAGTTGCAGCTGTACGCCCTTGGGGCGTCGGCTGATGAGGCCCATCTCTCCTCCTCCTCCTCGCAGGGAGGATACGCGGCCAGTGCTCCGTGGCCTCGACTCGCGGCCAGGCGCGACGCCGGCGCGCCTGGCGGCGGGGACCGCGGCGTCGACGGCTGACGCCGCGTGAGCGGTGAAAAACGCTCGCCGCCGCAGCACAGGCGCGGGCACCCACCCACGCGCGCCCCTGGGCCCGAACGCCCGCCGACCACGCGAAACGCAGCGCCGGCCACGGGACCGACGGCCGCTCGCCGGCCGCCCCAGACGGCCGCCGACGACGACGTCGACGACCACGCCCCACGCCCCCGGCCTCCGCCCCCGCCCACGCCGTCGCCCCCGCCCGCCCCGCCTGGCGCTCAGCAGCCGCCGACCTCGAGCAGTCGACGACTGCCCCCGCCCGCCCCCCCGCCCGCCCCTGCGCGCTCGCTTGCTGCCCCTGCCGCCACCCACCCCTTCGTCAGGTCCGCGTCTGTTCGCTGCGTTGTCCCTTGCCTTCGCCCCCCCTCCCTCTTCCTCCTCCCTCCTCCCTCCAGCTGGCCAGAAGATCCAACCCGCGGGCGGTCGAACCGCGGTCGGCGGGCCCGGTGCTCGGGGGAGGAGAGCTCGCCAGGTCTCCCGGCACAATCGAAATGTTTATCGGCGATCGCCCCCGGCCCCGGCAGCGCGAAGGCGGCCCGGAGCGACAATCGCAAGTTTGTTTCCCCTCGGTCTGGGTCATGGGCTGCGGCTCGCAAGCTTCCCCTGCTTTTCGGGCGTCGCGCGCAGCGGGCAGCGAGGGAAATGAGCTGCAAGGTGCGCTCGCGACAGCGGGTCGATGAGGAAGGCGCCCGACGCCACCATGCTCGGGCACGTGCTCCTCGATGGACGGGTCGCCGGCGACGCGGAGGTCGTCGCCCAGACCAGCGGCCTCGGGGGACGCTGCCACCACGCCGGGGACCGCCACCTTCGGGGCTTGGTCAGCATCCTCGGGGGCCTGGTTAGCCTCAGCTGCTCGAGCAAGGCTCTGGTCCAAAGACGCGGCTGCTGGCATGTATTCGACCTGGCGTCGCTCTCCAACGGGGCGCGCGACCTGGGCGCCCCATTAGCACGGAGTGATCTGACCTCATGTCGAGAGGAGTCCCATCAGGGGCGAGCCACACGGGCTCGTCCTCGAAAAAGTTCCGAGTAAACGTGCATCCGCATTCGGCCAGGCGCCTGCCGATGGACAGCGCGGCGACGGCGCCCAGCAGGACGACGGCCTCAGCGCCCTCGCTGAGCCGCTCCAGACCGACCACTCAGGTTGCGTCGGGCGCGATGACCCCATTCGCAGTAACGAACTAGTGAAGGTCGGACCTCTGGTGAGCGTCGCCGAGCTGCATCGCGGTCTCGGCGTCGAATGAGTCGTCGCCCACGCCGCGTCGGCCGCGGTCCAATGGCACTCGGCATGGCAACTCCGGTAGCACCAGTGGCCTCACGGGCATGGCGGGCCACTCTGACTGGACCCACCGCGGCCGCGGCAGCGGGCACGCGCCAGGATTTTCACTCGTCGCCCTTCTCGCAGTTGCCAGCCGTCTGGAAGGCAGCGCAGAGAGGCTTGTCCCAGGCCTCATCGAGCCTGCTCGAGGCCGCGGAGACGTCTTTTTTTCTGCTGACTTCTTCGTCTCGGAGGCCTTGCGTTCGCCCTCGGCGGCGGCCTTGGCCTCGGCCGCATTGGCAGCAGCTCTGGACTTCGCCTTCGCGGCAGCATTCGACGCGACAGCTGCAGCCCCCGCCCAGACATTCCCGCCACTGCTCGGCGATGGCATCGGCGGACGTCGCGCGACCATCTACACCTGACCCCTACGCGGGGCGACGCGCCGGTCCAGGAAAGGATGCAGGGCCACGTCTGCACGCGGTTATCCTTGCCCTTACCGGATTCGCGCTCGCCCCCCCTGAACGCCCAGAGCGGTGGCCCTCTTGGGCGCCGCGCCCGGAGTTGCTCGGAGGCCGCCGCGCGTTTCTCCCCGGCCACCTCGCGCCGCGCGCGGTCGCGCTGCCAGGAGAAAGCGCCCTCCTCGGCGCCGTCAAAGCTGGCGAAAATCGACGCGAGGTCACGGCAGAGTCGAAGCTGCGGCTAGACGACCACGACGAACCTCGCCTGGCTGCCGCGCGAGGCCCACCAGCGCGTCACCCAGCAGCGGGTCGAGACGTGCCCCCGAGTCGCGGTGGAACTGCAAATTCGTAAAAGTGCCGACGTCGGCGAAAGACCTCTGGCCAGACTCGACGCGGAACTGCTCGGATAACATCTCGAACACGATTCCCCGAAACGGCGGGAGGTTCAGAGCTGGCGCCCATGGAAAGCGCTGGCGGCTTACACGACGCAGTCGGCCGGCGCCGTGACCGAGTCGCCCCACTTGCGGCGGGCGGGCGAGACGTGCTCGGCAAGCTCCTGGGGGGCCGCCGGGCCCCCCATCAGCTGCAGCCAGCGGATGGGCTCTGCGCCCAGAGCCCTTCGAGCACGGGCCCTGGATCCACCGCCGGAGGCCGAAGCCTGCGGGCCCAGGTCGAGCTCCAGCCCCTTCGCCCACCGCGCCCTTCCCCCGCAAAATGTCGCCCTCATCGCTGGGCGAGAGGACCAAGGCAAAGCGCTCGCGCAACTGCTGCGCCCAAGCGGCGGCCGCGGCCCCACGTCATGGAGCGCCGAAGTCGTCGCCCTCGAAACTACGCTAGCCCCCGGGGCCGCCATCATCCGGGGGCCCACCGAGCAGAAGTCCACATGGCGGCCCCCCGCCCGTGCGCCGCGGAAGGCGACTGCCAGCAGGGGCTGGCACCACAGCGGCTGGCGCAAACATCTGGCCCATGCCCCCGCACTAGCCCCGACCTGGCAATGCGCCAGCGGCCGACCCCGCCGCGCCCAGGGGAGAGGCATCGCAGGCTCGTCCTGTTAGCACGACGTTGCACTTGCACTGCTCGCCAAAATGCCCCTCGATGGGCCCACGCCGCGCACTTGCGCCAGTAGCCCAAGCTTGGAATCGGAGAAGACGTGCGGGGTGAGCAGCAAACCGGACCCCCCACGCCGTCTTGCGGCTCACGGAGAGCAGCACCACATTCTCAAACTGCAATAACTTAGCGACGCGAGTCAGGTGGCGACGAATTACGTCGGCGCTCGGAGACCTCCGCCAGCGCGCGCCTGTTGGCAGCGCACTGGAATTCAGCGCGAGCCTGCCCCTCGGCCACGGCAACACGGGCCTCGGCCATCAGCCTGTCGCGGAGCGCGTGCTCGAAGGCCTTGCGGCCCTCGCCCAGTCCCCCGCGCTCGCGCCCGGGCTGGGCACCACCAGCTCGAAGCGCAGTGAAGTCCCGTTCTTGGTCCGCCACCTTTGCGGCCTGGACCACGACGCCGGCGCGGAGCCCAGCCGCCTCCGCGCTCTGCGCGCGGAGCTCGGAGACCGCAGAGGCCTCTGAGCGCAGTCGATACTCGGCCTGGAAGAGGCGGGGCGCCCGTCTGGACTCCGCGCGATGGGCGGCATGCCCAGCGCCCTGAGCCGCTGCCTCCGCGCCACGGGCATCGGCGAAGGCCTGGAGCGCCTCCACATTGAGCGAGTTGAAGGCGGACTTGGCGCCGGCGTTCACCTCGGCCTCGGCCAGCCTTGCAGCCTGAATCAAAGACTCAGCCTGGCCACTGACATACCAGAGCTGTCCAAGATGGGCCAGGTTGGCCACGTTCAACTGGGCGCGCGGCCATCCAGCTCGCCATGCACGCGGCGGCCGGCAGCGATGAGTTCCACGGCCTCCGTCTCCACGACGTTGTCGATCCTCTGCGCAGCCGCGGCGTCGAGGTGCTGCGCCGCACCCAAGAGGCGCGCCGCATACCAGGAGCGGACGAAATCCTGCTGGGCCTCGGCGCGCACGGGCGCCCCGATGAGCTCGCTCCTCACATCAGCCTGCTCTGACCGAGCGGTCATCGCCTCGGCGCAAGCTAGAAGTGCCAGCATCAGATGTGCCTCCAGGACCTTCTCGCGCGCCGTGGCGCTCCTCTGTATAACTCGCACTCGCCCATGACGAACCCGAAGGCCGCTGCTTGGCCGCCGGACTCCATAGCCACGCATTCGCGCCACCGCGGCGTCACGGCGCACACCATATTCGCGACCACCAGGAAGGTGTCCAGCAGCGTCTTGGGCCTGCTGGGCATGCCACGGTCGCGGCTCCTGTCAAAAAGTGCTGGTTCAGCTTGTTGAATTACCTGTGAATGTGGTCTGTGACGCCCGCGCTCGGCCCACCCAGCGGCACGCGGCCGGCACGCCGACGCCCGCTCAAACTCGGCGGGAATTCGGAGCCCGAGCCTACGAAGGTCCGCGATTGCTTATTCAGGTACTTCAGGAAGATCGCGGACCTGCAACGGGTGATGTCGAGCGCGAAATCGTCGATCTCTCCAGCCCCAGCTCCAGACGCATCAGCACGTCGGCTGATAACATCAGCAACCTGATAGGGTCTACTGGGCATCACTGGAGTAGTCATGGGCTGGGCATCGCTCTGCGGTTGCGGCTGAGCGGGGGGAGGTAGTGGCACACGAGAGCCACTCGCCATCGTCACCTACGATGACCCGCGCGGGGGCCCCGGAGGCAACGAGCGTGAGGAGCCTCTGGGCCTCCGTAGGGCTAAAGGCAAGGCTGCGCTGCATGTCAGGATTGCGCGGCAGGCCGAAGCGCAGCCGGATAAGGGTGTCCTCTGACGTGGCCAAGCGACGGAGGAGCCAGCGACGTCGCTGAGACTCGCTCATTCGCTTGACCACGACAAGGACTGGAATTTGTATGTTTCTCCGGGTTCCGCATCTTGAGCCTTGAGACACATGCGCGGTACCGCACGTTGTAGCTTTACGCCTGCCGAGCAGGCAATTCCAGCTGCTACCACACTGAGTGTAACTGGTAACCTAGAGCTCAGAAGACAGCGCAACCCATCCCTGGAGGCGGCGTTGCCGCTGAGCCTCCAGGGATATTGATACAGATGGCGGTGCAGGCTATCGTGTCCAGAGGTCACCCCGATGGAAAATTCGCACGACTCAGCGCAGCATGAGAGCGGACAAATGAGGCGGCCAGGTCTTGCACTGAAGTGTCCGGGGCTCCCGCGGCCGAGAAGCAGGAAAAATTGCCCTGTGCTTCTGATTCACTGAATGCTTGCTGACTTCTCAATGCGTTTGAAAAGACTTGGATTTTGAGTCGCTTGGACCATAGCCACGAGGACGATTTGTCCGGGGACCTCAAATGCGGGCAATCATTCAGTAAAGCCGAAACGCAATCTCACCTACGTCGAGGCTGTAGGTCACACCGGCGTCGCCGCACCGTCTCCGTGACACATGGAACTGGTGCGAGTTATTTCCTCCGCCGCCACAGCTCGTTAATTGATTAGCCTGGCTGCGAGCGCGAAGCGCCAGGGAATTGACATGGGCATGCTCCGTATCACAAGATTCACATAATAATCGGTCTGGAATGTGCCTTCTCAAGCTCACGCTGTTCTCGGCGTGCCGCCCCATCTGCCAAAGCAAATCATAGCGGCAAAGCATAAAGCGAAAGCAGGGGGAGGGGAAAGAAGAGGAGGACGAGGAGAAGAGGAAGGCGATGGTGCGCTGGCGCCAGAAAACGAAGTTCATCGTCGGCTAATTTTGCACAGGATGGCCCGAAAAAGCCCGCCAAGGATACCCCCTTTCTCCCGGAGATTCCCCTGTTCACCCTGGTTGTCCGTTTGGTTTCACTACATGTGTCTCTTCGCCCCTTTTCCCCGTCAACACTCATGGGCAGGGTTTGCGAATGTGCTCGCGGGAATATGTTTTGTTGGTCGGCGGCCGCTCGACAACGGTCTGGCGGCAACAGGCAGTGTCCGGGGCGGGCGGCACAAAGCTAATTGCACACAGAGCGCGCGGTGCACATGCACTGAACAAACGCTCCACATTCACAAGCAGACGCACCTAGGCGCCGCCCACTCAACCAAAGTGCACAAGCGGCCACGAGCGCGAGCGCAACGGAGTGAGTCGCCCTTGCGGCGCCAAGCTCCGAGCAGCCGACGAGGCTAGCAACGACGCACGAGCCCGGGCAACGGCTGCTGGCGGTGGAAAACAAGGGCCGAAGGCGCGGAAGGCTGAACCACTCAGCACGCAGCCATCAAACTCCACCGCAAAGTTGGGGGGGCCGGCGGCAACCAACGCAGCGAGGCTGGCACCTGCGGGGAAGGCCCGGGGATGGTGCGACGATGCGTAAAGCGCGGGCTGTACCAGGCAGCAACACTCAAGGCGAGGCATTCAGGCACAGTAACCCTCAATGTCGGTGGACACCAGCGACTGTCCGAGCACCACGGTGTCGACCTGCTGCGAAGAGGCCCACCAATGCCAGCCGCAGACGACGCACAGGTTCGGCCCGTGCGGGGGGGGGGGACCTCCGAGCAGCCTGCCTGTCTGGCCACCCGCTCTAGCTACTGCAGCCGCCGCGGGCGAACCCCCGAGGCGCAGCGGGGGGCGCCCACCAGGCCACGCGCACGGCGCAGTCCCACACCGTGGCCGGCCTGCGGCCGCGCCGAGGCGTCCCCTGTTACCTGGTTGCCCGGTTAGGGTGCATCCCTCCGAGTGCGCCTTGCCGTGGAGAAGGGGGGCGCAGCTACCCGCCGCAAGATACAGGTCACTTGATAGCAGCTGCACGCCGAGAACATCTACACATGTGGGGGGTGCAGCTAGCCGCCGCAGAAGACACATAGAGAGATGGGGGGGCAGGACAACGCCGATGCAGTCCGAGCTGGAGCGGGCCAGCGTCGGACGCGCCACATGGGGGGCACATGCGCAGCAGCCATACGCAACATAGCTGGAGCTGCAAACTGCCAAGATACCGGCTGAGCGGCGCGCAGGGGGGCGACTACTTCAGGCGACAGGCCCCTGCTGCCGAAAGTGGGCGGCTGTCAAATGGACAGCAAAGGAAGGTGCGCTGGGGGGGTGCATATGCGGCCGCCCCCTTGTCACCGAGAAAGAGTGGCTGTCGCTGAGGGACAGCAAAGCACAGGTCCCGGGGCTGGTGAGGCCTGCGGGCTGGCCCCCATCTGCTGAGGGGGGGTGAGAGGTCCAGGCAAGGTCCACTTATCCAGCGTGGGCTGTCTAGCTATACTGCGCCAGCATGGCCGAGGCCAGGCGCTGCGAGGTGAAACCATCCCCAGCGGGGTGAGGCGCGGGCGACAAGGGGGGGGGGTCGCGGGCGACGGGCTGGGAGTGCCGGTGGGCACGCTGTCAGGCCAGCCCGAGCCTGCTACCCCTGGGCGTACTAGTCCCCCCTGTCCCACCATCGTGCACGCTTGTCTGTGTATCGATCGTCTCCCCTGGGGGGGTAGCGTTTGCCTTTCCCTTTCCAATCGGTTTCCGTCCACGGTGCTCTGGCGGTTCCAGGAGTCCCACTCCGGCCATTCCTGCCAGCGGGCGGGGGTGGCGGAGCCGATGGCACCTGCCCAACGATCATGCACGGGCGCCGCCGCGGCTGCTCTGCCATCTGCTGTCCACGGGGCGAATCCACTGCTGCTGGCAGGTCCGCGCTGAGCGTGGGCCTTGGGTTCGCGTGGGAGGAGCTTCATGTGCTTGTCCTTGACCGACGGCCAGTGGACGCTGAGCCCTAGGTCGCTGGCCATCTTGTAGGCGTCGTACCCGACTGGACCGCGTTCCGTGTAGGGTCGTGTTTTTCGCTTCCGCCGGCCCCTTGTCTCATGGCAGCCTTCCTCACCCATGAGGCCCAAACTCCGTTGAACGCTCCTCCCAGAGTCTTTTGCAGGCGTGTTATCTTCTCCTGCACGGGCCCATCCTTCGCGACGTCCGCATGGGCAACAGGGCACATGCACATGGGGATGCCCCCCATGGGGTCGCTGGGGTTGCCTCGGGGTGGCTGCGTGGCCCTTACATCCTTCCAGGGCGCCTCGGAAATGTGTGCCCGCGCTGGGTCGCCTCTTGGGGATTTGGTGGCACGGCCGCCCCATTCCTCGGCGTCTTCCCACACGGGTCGCTGGCGGCCCTTGTCACCGCTCGCGCGGCCGAGGGCACGGTCATCCCTAACGTCGCTGATGCCCCAGGCTGCGCTGCGTGCTCTTTGTGGGATGTCTCTCGCGCTCTTGATTACACGGACGGCGTTCCAGGCGTCGGGCCTGTCGGGTGGCTCCAGGAATAATTTGAGGGGGTCCACTTCTTCCTCGTCTGCCACAGGGGTTGGGCTGAGCTCCGGGCTCGGGCCCTGGGCGCTGTCGGATTCGCTTGTCCTGCCCCCTTCCCCTCCCCACTCGATCCCGTCAGGTTCGCCTTCGATCTTGCTTGCCTGGCCGGTTGGGGCCCCCCCTCTGCCTGAGGGACGCGCCCCGCATCTGCGCCTGAGGCGGGGGGGGGTCGCTCTGGGGGCATGGGCAGAGGCGCCCTTTCGCGCAGGTCCAACGCTGACTGCTGGGGGGGGGTCCTCGGCAACGACTGCTCTGTTCAGCCAGGCTGCTGAACGTGAATCACCCTCCGCTGAGGAGCCTGCGACCGCCTCGCGCAGCCCCCGCTTGGTCGGGACGGTGGTAGTACCATAGGCCAAGGCGGCCTGGTCAATTCTCATAAGGAACGTGAGCAGTGTGCCGATCCGCTGTCGGAAGGGGCACTGGCCTCTCTGCTCTGTCAGGTTGGCAGCGTAAATGTCCCATTTGCCTTGGTACTTCCCGCTGGATCTCATTATGTGGTATACCACTCTGGCCACTGCAGCCCGTTGCCCATCCCATGGGATGTCGGGGGGGTGGCCGTTATTTGGGATCGACTCTCCGTAGATCATTAACGGGAAAGGGAGCAGGCTTGCGGCGGGCCACGATCCCTCATCTGCTCTGCCCCCTGGGACGCCGCCACCGCACCGCTGCACGAAGTCGCCCCAACAGTTGTAGACGGAGTGATTCCATTCCAGCAAGAACTTCACCAAGGAGTGAACGGGGCCGTCAGATTCCACCCCAGAGAGCCCGAGGGTGCATTGGGTTGGTAGGACGGGGCACTCTGGCGGGCCCACGTTGGGGAACACGGACTTGCTGTCGCGTCCGACCCTGACTTGTTCACTGCTCTCTCCTGCCGCGCTGTTGCGCCCCCTGTCGTCGGGGGCGAGCTCGCCCCTTGGGGCTGATTGCCTTGAGCATGCGTCCTTCGCAGCTGCGTCGACGCCGGCTGGGGAGAGGTGGACGCTGATGTCGTAGCTGCCCCCCTGCACTTATGCTGTTGCTGCGAGCTTGGTGGGGGTGGTGGGATATACCTTGGAAGAGTGCTGGTCCAGAATGCGGTCGAGCGTGCCGGGCGCTAGTCCAGATGTGGATGAGGCATCGCCTACAGGCCCAATCTGCGTTCCACTGCTGCTGGGTCCAGAGCGTGGGCACGGTATCCCAAGGCGGAAGCCCTGTCTCGTCGTTGCGCGGCGCACCTGGCTCAGGCCTCCACATGAAGCAGCCGAGTGCAGGGCTGTTTGTAGACCACGCGAGCAGTGGCGACCCCGCGGGGCAGGTGTCGCACATGGCGGAGTAGGCAATCGCATGGCGTGACTCGGGCCCGAATCTGCCGTCGGACAGCTTGCGGGCTGGGAGGGCGGTGCCGACTGCCCGTGGCCCGCAGACGGGCGGGGCGTTCATGGCCAGGTCACGCAGGCAGGATGGGGAACTGCGTAGTGTCCGGTTGCCCGCGCCCGATTGGGAGCCGATCCAGGGGGGGAGAGCGCGGGCTCTCTGTCGGTAGCAAGCCTCATCCAAAGTGCGCTTGTACGTCAGTAGGCGCTGCTGGAGCGACTTCTTGGTAGTGAGGCCCTTGTTTTCGGCCAGGGGGGCCTCGACGCCTCTGCCATCCAGCGACTTGATCCAGCACAGCTCGCACAGCCACCTGCAGCTTCGGCCACGCAGGTACGCTTGGGCGCGGTTCTGCGCCAGTCGCCCCCATGTGTCGTCGTCCTCTCAGGTGCCTGCCGAGCCTCGCAACCTGGTGTTCAGGCATCCGTCGCAGTCGAAGCTGCCGACCTGCTGCCTGGCAAGGAACCTGTCGCCACTTACCTTGGGTGGGCTGAGCGTCGCACCGGGGGCCGGGGATGCCGGGGAGTCTTCGTCGAGGCGCTTGTTGGACATGGCGATTCCCCCGCCGATGTACTCCAGGTCTGCCGTTGTGTCAGGGCGGCAGAGCCCGCCCTCGGCCCCGCTGAGCTCCTTGCGCAGCGTGCAGATGGAGCAACTTCCCTCGCTCAGGGACTTGATGTCGGCCGGCTTGACGATTGCTTCGAGGGCCCTCATGGGGGCCTCCAGCGTGCACTTATAGTCCGGCATCCCTGCCCACGTGGTTGGGCACCCGTAGTTGGTCGCAACCTGATGGTGGTGGGCGTAGGTGGCGAGCGCGCCGATATGCTCGACGGCGCCCTCCATCGCCCCGTGGAAGGATGCGAGGCCGCACAAGTCGAAGCCCAAAGCCTCTGCGAACTGTGTCCTGTACTCTTTGTGGACATTCTGCCAGGGGAAGCAGAGGCCCATGGCTGCCTCGACGACGTCTCCCGCGGCCTCGGGGCGTGGGAATGGCAATAGCGTCGCGCGGGGCTCGCGCAGTTGGAGCACCATGACCACCAGGGGGACCCTGAGCGCGGGGGGGTCCATGGAGAGCCCGTCGCTGCTGAGAAGAGACTGCCGTAGCTCCGAATCAGCTTGGCCTGGGCGGAGCAGAGACTTCAGGCGCTGCATCCCTGGGCGTGCACGGCGCCGCTTGGATTTCCCCGTCTCTCGGCTCCAAGCCGCCGGGAGCTGCTGCAACGCGTCCTTGGGGGTGCATCGGCTGGCGCCCTTGGGGCGATGGCTGATGCCCTTCACGAAGGGTAGTGGGGGGGGGCGACGCCTCGGGGACGGCCAGGCGAGAGGTGGCCCAGGGGGTGCCCAACTCGAGGAACCAGACCAGGGCAGCCCACGTGAGATTGTAGACCAAGTTGCTTGCATCTATGCCCAGCTCGACGTCGGTGCAGAATCCTAGGTGGCCCCATGCTTTGCGATCGAGCCTGCCGGGCTGCCTCGGCGGGTCAGCTATGGACCATTGGTGGGGGTGAAGCCCCAAGACGGTGTAGAGGGCGACACCCATAGCTGGGTCCTCGACGAGTCTCTGCAGACTGCCCCTGATGGCGTCACCTACGTTGCCCCATGAGAACTGCGGGTCGAGCGGTGCTGCTATCCGATCTGCATAGTTCTTTTCCATGGAGGCACGGGCTTCCCCGATGGCATTGTCGAGCCCCTTGATGATCTCGTCTCCTGCGTGGGAGGGGGAAGCCGGAATCCATGCGAAAAGACCTGGGATGGGATCGAACCCACTGTCAACTGCCAGTGCCCACCTGTTGCCCATGTCCCCCGAGTTCGAGAAGCGAACCCAGAGCTTGGCGAACCCTCCGTACTCAGAGAGCCCCCGCAGGCGCGAACCTGTCGCGGTGCCGAACATCCCCCCGTCACCGATAATGACCACATTGCAGGTGGCACTGGTGATTGCCACGTTCACCCCGTTGGAATTGCCCATGAAGCCCCAATCGTGCCAACTGTTAGACCTAATTGTCAGGAAGATGACCAGGTCGGCTTCGCCGCCTTGGCTGGAATCGACGGTTGGAATGGTGAGCCTGCCGCTTGTCAAGTTCTCCTCGGCGAAGCTCCGCAGCCCGGGAATGCTCAAGGAGATGCCTGTGAGCTCTGAACTGCGCTGCACGAAGACGCTGGCGTGGTCGCTGGCGTTGGGGGGAGGGTCTGGAGGGGGGGGGGGGCTCGTTGCCTGGGGCTGCCCCGTCTTTCCCTTTCCATTTGCCCTTGGTCTTGGCTCGCCAGAGGGCGCCACTGATGCCGCGCACGCTTTGCGGCCATCCGTTTTCAAGGATGGCGCACTGCAGCTGGTAGCCGACGACCACCCGCACTGCGGAGCCGCGCCGCATGGCGGGCAGGAGGCACGCACTATATCTACAGTCTGCGCTGCCTCCGGTAGGTTGGCGCATCCGGCGTGCAGCCTCGAAGTGACCTCCAAGGGGGGGTTGTCCACCAGTAGGAAACGGTGCCGCTCCTCTTTGCGCTGACTCCCTGGATCCAGGCCGAGCAACATGTGCTCCGTGTCGTCCTTGGTGGTGCCCGCCGCCTCTGCTAGGTCAACGATTCTGGCGTCGTCCCATCGGAGGAGGCCCCGCCATGGGAGTCCCTCGATCAGGGGTCTCTGCGACAGGGGGTATGTTAGGCCCGTGTGCATTGTGTTAAAACGGCCAGGCCAATAGCAAGGGGCGCACACGGTAGCAGAGGCTGAGTTCTACCACGGCGGACGGGTCGTCCCCCAGGGCACGGTGGAGGCGGTCAAAGATGGAGAGGCATAACCCTTGGTCAGCTGCTTTCCTGGAGATGACTGCGGGGGGGAGGTGCTTGGGGTCGCCAACCAACACTAGGTGCCCACCGGAGCGGATGACGCTGTCCAGGGACATGGCGGCCATTAGCTCGTGCGCTCGCCTGGCCATTAGCTCGCGCGTTTCTTTCGGACGCCTCTAGCCGCGCCGTGACAGGCCACCACGCTAAGGGTATGAAGATAAGAAATTGTGCTGAACTCTGCCGCGCTTTACAAGTGTGTTCTGATGTACCAGCCGGGATATCGAGCAGACTGCGTCCTCTAAGGCCATGGCTTCCGCTGCGAAGAAAGAAACAGGCGGGCCCATGTAAGTTCCACTCATAGCGATAGGGAAAATGCGGCGATGGCCATCACGCCATACAGCTGCTTCGGCAGACCAGGCCGCAGCTGAGCAGGAACCTGCGCGTGTCCCCCCGTCGGAATGAATGATGAAATTTGCTTCAAGAATACTGAAATATCCTAGGGGGTTGGCGGTCCGTCTTTCCGCCAGCTGGTCCCTACATCAATGGTGTGATTTACAAGAAAGTCGGCGATGCGATTGTTCTCGCGACGATGCCATAAGATGGGATCCCCTGTCTCTGACGCCGGGGACCATCCAGCATCGATCAACTCAAAGATCTGCCCGGTGATCCTTTCAAACACCGGTGCGAGCCCAGGTGCATTCAGCGGCACGTGCCCGCACGTCACTTTTGCTAGAGGTTTGCAATCTACTACGAATACGAATCACTTGCAAAAACGGTGGAACTCAATGTCGGGCTGTTCGTCCCGGTGCTGATCCGGACACCCATCCAAAGTACGATGGAGAGTCTTGTTCCGCTTGTTGGGGCCAACTGGGATGTCTACGTGAACGTCCTGTGCACCTCGGACACGGTTGGGAAGCTGCCATTGCGCACAAAGTGAAGCTGTAAATTCGTCAAAATGTTTATTCCAAGACTCGTACGAATCACACCTGTCGCGTCTCGACCGCCAGTCTGTCCCGAAGGCATCGCAGAAGATATCCTCCCACTCGCGCCTGTGGCCGAATCCTGCATGCACGATGCCCTCTGCCCGGCGCTGCGTCTTGAAGTCCTTGATTCTTTCCCAAAAGAGACGGTCGCGGTAAGCCCTTGACAAAGCCAGATAGTTCACCCCGCTGGGCGAAGTAAACTGTCGCTCCCGCCACGCTTCGTCGAAGATGGCTCGCAAAACCTTGTGGTGAATAGGGGCGTGGACATATACCCTTCATCAGGTCGCCGCCGTAGCCGGAGAACCTTGCGGAGCATGCCAGTTTCCCAAGAACGCAAGCGGACAAGGTGGTATTTGGATATGTGCAAGGACCCGCAACAGAACAAGCTGGATGCCACTGGAGCCGTCGACCAAGCACGTAATTTCTGGGATAATGAATAGGGCGACTGGGGCGGCCTTCTTTAGTGCCTCCGCAGATTCATGTGTGGTCCGTATCACAAGATTCACATAGTAATCGGTCTGGAACGTGTCCTCTCAAGCTCACGCTGTTCTCGGCGTGCCGCCCCATCTGCTAAAGCACATCATAGCGGCAAAGCATAAAGCGAAAGCAGGGGGAGGGGAAAGAGGAGGAGGACGAGGAGAACAGGAAGGTGATGGTGCGCTGGCGCCAGAAAACGAAGTTCATCGTCGGCTAAGTTTGCACGGGATGGCCCGAAAAGGCCCGCCAAGGATACCCCCTTTCTCCCAGAGATTTCTCTGTTCACCCTGGTTGTCCGCTTTGTTTCACTACATGTGTCTCTTCGTCCCTTTTCCCGTCAACTCTCATGGGCAGGGTTTGTGAATGTGCTCGTGGGGATACTTTTTTGGTTCGCGGCTCCAAGGCGGATGACAGGGAGCAAAGACGGCGTCCGGGGCGCGTGACGATGTAAATTGGCCACCGAGGCGAATGCACGTGCAAGGGACAAAATGACCCTCATTAAAACGCAAGCGTGGAGCGTGAAGAACTGTTTAAGCAGGCGCAATAACATCAACAATGATGATTAGTATTATTACGATGAGTACGGACATGTCGCATGCCAATGGCAGAAATGATAGTGTTTATGACTTTGATCATGGTGATCATGCTGATCTTCAAGATGATGATAACGAAAATTACGATATCGGTGGCAATGAGAGTGACGGCTCTGACGGTGATGTTGTAGGCGTGCCACAGCCCAACATCTACGAAGCACACGTCAGAATAGCAAAAGGTCAAAACTGAAGAAGCTGGGACGCTAAGTGTGTCGCTCATCGACGCGCTCCCGCATGATCAGGCTCCTGGGTACTCTCCAACCGGCTGCTGGCCTGCAACGGGACCACTCACAGGTTTCTTGGTCCCGTTAGATGCGTCGCCCTTGATACTTTTCAGCACATCGTCCGTGCTGCTTTCAGGCGTATGCTCTCGCATTGCTGTCATATATCGACTGGCGGACTCGGAGAGGCCAATATATGTGACAACCTTGCCAGCGGCTTTCAAAGCAGCTTCCGTTGTGAGTATGGTATCCAAGCCTGAGTGATCCAAGACCCTGCCTTTTGTCAGATCGATGACAACCTTCTCTTGTGGGATGGCATCAACAGTGACCTTTCCTTGGAAGTTCATGGCGGATGCGAAGAACAAGGGTCCTTCGAGCTGGACGATGCTAATGTCTTTATCTTCTTTTGAAGGCTCAATGTGAATCTTCACCTCGTGTGCGATGTTCCAAGCGAACGCCATGCCGCTAACAAACAAGCCCAGAAGAACTGCGGTTGCCAGATTCGCGATGACAGTTACGATCGTCACCAAGGCCACCACAAGAACATCGACCCATCCAATTATGTCTTTCTGTCGCAAAGAATCCCATGTCGTGCTCAGCGACGCCCAAACGAAGGTATTCAGCGAAACCAAGAACATCAGCCCAACAAGTGCTGCAACGGGAATCTTGCCGAGAGCAGGTGCTAGTACTGTCACGCCAAACAGTAACGTGACGCCGCTGACGATGCTCGAAATGCGGCGATGGCCGCCACTCCCGACATTGATGAGAGACTGCCCAATGAGGGCGCAGCCACCTTGGGTACCAAACAGGCCTGCCAACAGATTACCGAGCGCTTGGCCGAAGCACTCCATCCTTGTGCTTCCTTCTGGCGGGCCCATGACACGATCAAGGAGCTTGACCGTCAGCAAGCTTTCTGTGAGACCAACGAAAGCCATCCGAGCACCCACCGCAAAGGCTGTCGACCACACCCTGGCATCATTCCAATCAACGCCTGCTGGAGGGAAGTTCATAGGAGGAATTGATGCGAGACCTCCCTGAAACGTTTCCTTGCCTGATACATCTTCAAGAGTGCGCCGAGGAAATATGCTGCCGGTAGCATAGCTGAAGCCAACAGCGACGATGATGGCAGCAAAGGGTGCTGGGAGAAACTGCCCAACCTTTGGCAGCCTCGGCCAAGTAACCGCAGTGAACATCGATACAAGAACGGTAAGGATCATACCAGTAAGAATTTTGCCAACAGCAACACCGCTTCCTGCAAGCTCCTGGAGATCGAAGTGACCCAACTGGGCCAGAAAGATTACTATGGCAAGGCCATTGCAAAAGCCGATCATTACAGGATGAGGAATCAGTATTACCAGCCTGTCGAGATTGGCTAACCCGAACAAACACTGGAGAGCGGAGCAAATTAGAACAGCCAAGGACATGGCGCCCATTCCGAACTCTTTGTTAATGTCGATGAGGAGTACCGAAGTGGCTGCTGACGCGCAGGACACAAGCCCTGGGCGCCCTCCCACCAATGACGAAGACAAGCTCAAGAAGATCCCTGCCCAAATTCCATTCAGAGGGTTGATGCCGACAATGAAAGAGAACGAAATAGCCTCGGGAAGACAACCAAGACCCGCAACTACACCACAAAGTATGTTGGTGATCAAAGTGCCCCCTTTGGGTTCTTTGGTATCTGATAAAGTCTGGCGGTTGAACAGCGTAGTCGGATTTAGTTCTCCCTCCTGAAACACATCACCCGAAACTCCGATCATGGACAAGGCTTGCCCTACATGACGCTTTGACCAGTGGAGGAAGAATCCAAGGATGAAAGGAATCGCTAAGAAAGCAATGATGACGCCTACGCTACCACGCACATCAGACCCTTTTGAATTGATAGCTGAGCCTGCTGGGACGTCTTTCCTCGATAATTGGTAGGTCATAGAACTGATATATGTGCTGGTTCTGCTTACTCTAGCATGACTCGTATTACCTGCATCTCCTGTCCAGTCGACTGAAATCATTGTCTGGATGAGAGACTTATCAACATAATGGCATGACGGTTCTGCTTTGGACACACGGAAGTGTGCAGAGGCACTGCACAGCAGCAGCAAAAATGTAAGCGAATGGAGTGGGTGCATAGAGGTACAGCAAGCAGTGTGCGCCATGCCTGCTATGAGCCAAGGTGGCCTACGTCAACCCAAATCTACAACCAGCAGCCCTTTGGCTCCAACATGCTGGCACTGCCCAGTTGCCTGCACCCCCCCCCCCCTGGCACACATCCCCGCCGAGGCATCCTGGGTGCCCTGACGCTTCTAGGTTTCTCCAGAGCTCTCTGACGCTACTACGACGGCCTCGAAGGCCATCACCTGTGCCAAGATGGCCCCAAGACAACCCCAAGAGCAGGAGCCAACAGCTCCCAAGACAACCCCAAGAGCAGACAAAGAAGTCTGGCACGTTGATGCGTGGTAGAACGCCAAGTTATGACTGGCAGGGATTCTGTAATGTTTCTAGGGACCCCCTCTGTCGAAGTGCCCACCAGCGTGCAGCCCGCTCTTCCCAAGGTCCTGGGATGCCCCATACCTCCCCGGCGCTCTCCAGCGCGTTGAAGCTGCCCAAAAAAAGCTCCATGACGGACGAACATGGCCCCAAGACGGCCCAAGATACCCTCAGGACCGCTCAAGGGACCTCCAAGACGACTCAAGAAGGATCCAAGGGAACCTCCAACCAGGGCAGAAGAGGTCAAAATCATGAATCGTCCTTCGGTTGCGGAAAGATTTTCGCATGCTTACCGTTTCGAACGGCCGTCTGCTCAAGATGAGAGGGTTCCCACGCCGACCAGGAGCAGAATCACGTCGCTATCATGCCCAGACCAAAGGGGGTCGCGAAAATGTTTCGACTTAAACAGGTTGCTGGATAGCTCTCTGAGAGCTGAGGAGGGTTTAGATTAAGTCTTTCGCATGGATATTCGTTATCCCTGCAATGTGTCCCGATGGTGTCCCATATTCAAATGGGTATAACAGAAGACATGGGCAAGAAAGGATAACGCCGTTAAGCATGCAACAGATATAACACTGAGGGGAGGAGGCCGGCCGCCCGGCCGACGCGCGCGGCCGCGCGCGGGCGCGCTCCTTTCCCGTTACACCTGAGCCGTCTCTTGACGATAACACAGCTGCGGAACACAGAAAGTCAAGGCAAGGAGCAGACAGTGGGAAGCAAGCAGGATGGGTGGGAAGGGCAGGAACCTGGTGGCGCGGAGGGGCGCATTGACCCCCCCCGCGGCTCTGCGTATACGCAGAGCCGCCCCGACCCCCCACCCACCAGGCCTGTACATATGCACAACCACCGGAGCGAACCCCAAAAGAAAAGTTCCACCGCTCGACTGTGGGCGCCCGGGGGCGGATGGCCGGAGAAGCCCGGCGTTTCCCGCCTGAGTTAATATTCTCAGCTCAGGTCTCAATGCCCACGCACACCTGGTGCCCAGCATCGAATGCGTCGCGCAGGATCCAGCCATCTTCATCTTCACCTTCCCCAACGGCCTTTTGACTCCCAAGAGTCCTCCCATTGCCATTCTCTTCTTGCGCCCCAGTCACTTGACGGGCTCCATTCATATTGCCCATGATTGCCCCAGCCCTTTTCCTACGAACTCGCCTTCGGCGCAGGTGGAGGCGCGGGCACTCGCAAATTTCTCGGCGATCCAGAAGATCGGCGGAGCTTCTCATTGCACTCGTCAAGACTAAACCATTGCCACGTTTTGCTGCGGCCGGTAACTGGCTGATGTCGAGAAAAAATGCACATCAGATCCTTGAATCCTCCTGGCCCCGGCATCCCCACCCCATGGAGCCTCTGTTCTGGGGGCCCCACCACAGTGCGATTTCTCGCCCAAGACCTACCGACGCCCCCCTCCTGGCCCCGGCATCCCCGCCCCATGGAGCCTCTGTTCTTGGGACCCCCTTCCCTCCTGGCCCCGGCATCCCCACGCCATGGAGCCTCTGTTCTTGGGACCCCCCCACCCTAAGATTTCTCGCCCAACACCTACCGACGCCCCCCTCCTGGCCCCGGCATCCCCACCCCATGGAAGCTCTGTTCTCGGAGCCCCCCACCCTACGATTTCTCGCCCAAAACCTACCGACGCCCCCCTCCTGGCCCCGGCATCCCCACCCCATGGAAGCCTCTGTTCTTGGGCCCCCCCCCTACGATTTCTCGCCCAAAACCTACCGACGCCCCCCTCCTGGCCCCGGCATCCCCACCCCATGGAGCTTTTGTTCTTGGGACCCCCACCCTGCGATTGCTCGCCCAAAACCTACCAATATCCCCCTCCTGGCCCCGGCATCCCCACTCCATGGAGCGTCTGTTCTTGGGACCCCCCACCCTACGATTT